CTGAATGAAATTCACAACAAGCCTTGTATTCTAGAGCTAGCCACGCGTTCTAGGAGATACCGTCATTTTATTTTGTCATCTTCCTTTGCATCTGAGTGATTGCAGTTCATTTTCTATCTAATTAGGCATCTTAACTTTTCTACCAAGTCCTAAAGAAAATATCTCAACCACTAAGATAACCCTCACTGCTGGCAAAGCACTGTCTTTTTGAATAGATCTGGCATACTCTTTGGGAGAAAGGAGTTCTAATAAAGAAATTAGGAGCTGGAAATATTGGGTATCTGCTCAATAAACATCAGCTCGGAGAGTTTCCTATAGCCTGCTTGGCAGGGATATGTGCAAAATACTATAGCCACATTCAGAAAAGCACGGTATTCCCAGTTCCACTGGCTTTACCAGGTTATTTGTATTTAACTACACACTTGAAAGCTGCTCTAGAACAGAGGCAGTGTTTGATAACGTAAGATGTGATCCTGAAAACTGTTTCTTGTTTTCCACCTCTAGAAGCCACATGCAAACTTTGACTTGATGCCAAATCAAAGAACTATGGCTAATAGTCACTCAAATTGAGTAGGAAAAAATGAGCCTTTCTGTAGCAGAGAAAAATTGAATGCCTCCAGTAAGGATGGAACCCAGAATCCTCCAAGCTCTGTGGGTCGAGGAGTGCCATCCATCAATTCAATTTTAAGTTGCCTAAACCTTTAAACTGAAACTATGTTGTGCAATTTAGTGAAGCCAAACACAGAAGCAGTCTGTGGAACCACGGTGGAGACTCTTACATTTGCACTACTAGACAAATAGATAACATTTTCTGTCTTGAAATCACCCACACATTGTGTACAGCAAAGCGTGTTTCACTTCAGGAAGCTACGTTTAACAGAGCACCCGTCTTGTTCGTGGAGCCATCAGTAGCTCTTCTTTTGGCCATGTTCAGCTCCAGCACTACACTGAGTGCTTCCTGCTTGTGTCATGTTTCTTTGGCTCATTGGAGTGAGTCTGGAAACAAACACATACAGAGTAAATAACTTGCAGCTAATATCTTAAAAAGGACAGTCATACTATTAGCTTTCTTTTTGCTTAATGCAGTGGGAGGTGCTAGGCTAGGGAAGTCAAGGTAATCTTCAACTAACCTAAGAACCTGAAATATGGAAGGAAATTTTAGCAACAAATGGTAGAGATCATTTCTTTATCTGGTATAAATTGGTATAACAAATGAAATGAAAAAAGTGATTTACATCAGATTAGGTTGGGTTCTTAATATAGTTCTGCCATCTTCTGGAAGAGCAATCTGTTTTCGTCTGTTGTCTCTCTCAGAAACTTTCAATCTTCTGTATGTCAAGAAGGGCTTTATGGAAATGGCAACCTGTCAGATGGGGAGGGGAGGAAACTACGAGAGGGCTGGCAGAGGGTGGTACGTGGGGTAGCAAGGCTATACTCAGTGTGGGCAGAGTAATATCTTGCTAGCAAGATATTTCATTACCAAGAGATTAGTTGCCATTAGAATCTGTTAATTTAATATGAAATTATTCCTTGTAAATAACACTTAGAGCAGCTTTTGAGTCAGAAAGCTCAGACCAAGTTCTGAATCTAAAGGATCGGTAGTTTTGGTACAGGCTAAGCCAAGGCTAAGCCTAAAATCTTTACATAGAAATGGGTGTTTTCTATTCTTGAGAAGATTATTTATAAGTACCAATGGTATATTGTTACTGTTTGGTTTCTATGATTATTTTGGCTATGTTTGCACACATAGATTTCAAAAAGTGCTCCCAGCCTGGCTAACCTATTAATAACCGTAAATATCTATCAGATTTTCCTAGCTGTTTTTATGGTGCAATAAGGACAGATCAAAAATGTTTGAGATGAAAAATTTAAACAGAGTAAATTATTCTCAAACATTAGCCTGTGCTAGAGCCTTTGTGAAACAAAATGATTTTCAAATTGTCTTTTAAAAGTGTTTAGAGGAAAGTTCACGCAGATGGTTCTGTAACAGCTCATCAACAGTTCACCATGTTTCTATCCTCCAAAAGAGTATGCAACCACAGTCTGTAGGAGGATGGGGTAAAGGTGGTTGGCATTGTGTGTGTCCAGACCTCAGGTCATGGGGTCCCAGTAAGCTCTAATTTCCTGTTCTTCCTGCTCCAAAGCCCCTTTTTTACAGAGGTGACCTGCTCCACAGAGGTCAGCACACAGGATACTGGTGTCAGTCCTCTACCCAATCTTCCCCCCTCTCCTCTCGCAGGCAGCAACTTCTCTTGGCCCGCGGTGTTAGCGTCACCGCACCTAGGACACGGCCAACCTGGCACGTACGGTGCAGAGCAGGGCTAGGGGACTTGTCTGTGGTGCACCCAGTTGTTGGTGATGTTTCTTGCAGGCAGCACCGTCACACATCCTGCCTCGAGAACGCTCTCCTGGAGCGCCGGCATGGTCCCGCTGCTGCGGCAGCAGGCTGAACCTGCCCTCTCCCTTGGGATGCTGACCCCCATGGGACGCTGTCCTCCCAAACGCAGACTTCTACTTTCGGCTTCTGGCCGGGCTTTCACAACCCTCCATACCAGATACTGTCGCTAAAAATCCACCTAGGTGGGATTCTCGAGTGCAAGGGACGAAAGCGTTTGAAAGACCAACACGTAACAGTCCAGGTAGCCCATAAAAAAAGAAGATAATGTCTGCATCTTTTGTTTAAGCTCAGTTGTCTGGTAACATTGTCCCCTTCATGGAAGTTGGTGGCACTGAATGTCAACTGCTGGAACTAAAATATCTGAGAGTTAAAACTAGTTTTGAATTTAATGTCTATGAAGACAGCAGACGCTGACTACCAGGCTGCTGTACACTGCATTCATCGGGAGCTGCTGGGATTTTTAGAAAGCGTTTGCAGCAAGTCAGCGCCTACGCTACAAAGGTCCCTTACTAAATCTTTGATTTCTCTCCTCAGCCTCTCAGAACCACCAACGGCTTCTGAAGCAGTTCCCCAGCAAAATGACAATCTTTTTCAAATCCATTAACAGCTCTTATCTTACACCCTATGATACACTGTCTATAGTAGCTAGCGTCTCAGGAGAATCTTTTAATTCTGCTCTACGTTACACGTAAGGCTCCGATACTCAGAACACCTTGTTTTAAGAAGCAGTGTTTAAAAGTGATTGAGAAAGCTCAAAAAGCAGATCCTCAGCGTGTTTAAGTTGTCATACCTCTGCTGAACTACAGCTATTTATTCCAGCAGCGCGTCTACGCTGTTGTTTGAAAAAAGCGGAGCTCGTGTTATCATCTTATCTTGGGTCTCAGCTGCAGAAATGCCTTAATACCTAAAAGCCTGGAATTCTGCTAGCCGCCTTTTGTAGGAAACCGCTGGTGTCCTGGCAGAAGTTCAGATTTGTTTTGAACTCACCTCCAAGTACTTTTCCTTCAGTGTTATTCCCAAGATGAATACCATCCATAACACCACGACCATTGTATAGATACCTCGCAGAGCCCCCTTACTGAAGATGTCCTGCGCTTGCTGGGCAGGCGGTGGGTGACGCGCGCTGCGGTCCGCAGGGCTCGGTCCTTCCGGAAGCTGGAGCCGCCCAGCTTGGTGGTCTTCCTTCGAGGCTCTGCATCTGCGCTGAACGCTGAGGTTGTGACGTCACTCATTGCCTCACAGACAAAAAGCACAGAAACTGAATGACGTCAGCGAACAGGAGAGAGAAGGACAAATTTAATAAAAGCTGTTCTAAACCTGTTTTGTTCTGTTATATCAACAAGTTGTATTCTTGGTTACTCCCTGCCTCAAGCGTCACATCAGCTTTCTTGAGGAGATCCTACTCCTTTGCCGAAATGTGCTAGTATTCGATTTTGTCTGTTCTGTTCTGATCTTGCCAGTTTTCCCGTGGGATAGGGGATAGGAAAGGCATTCATCTGTCTCCATCTCGCCGGACCCACTGTATTTTCCGCTCACTCCAAACTGGCCATCCATCGGACGCGCACGGTGCACTTTTTGAAGAGCAGTTTACTGATACACGTACCGTGTGATATGACGGGCTTACAAAGCAAGAGTAATATAGGAAAAGAAGATAATTCCAGATTTTTATTCACGTATTTGTAACTCCAGGTAAAAACGCAGGCCAGCTGTGATATTATCAACACAGAGGAAGGAAATGCCCAAAGCCCTGTAATATCTATATACGGTTTACTTCCTGAGATTCCTTTTTTTATTACTCCACAGCCAGACTGTACTGAAGGTCTTGCGTGAGTTTAGCGACTAAAGAAATGACTCCCGTGAGCACCGTCGTGCTCTCGCAGGGCTCTGCGTCCGTGCGTGCTTCAGGGCAGGACCGAGCAGCACGTACTTCAGGGTACGCGTCTTGCTATTCCTGGCTGCGTCTGCTAGCGGTCGGGAAACCGCGCGACCCCTCTTATACGCACTATGAATATCTCGTGTGAAATGCATTCATCCCTATACTCTCGAAGAAGGCTCCTGGGCTGCAGTACGGGTTTCCCCATAAATTACAGCATCCTTTAACCCCGGCCTATAATCCGGACCTCAGCGCCTCGCACCAGCTGGCGGAAACGACACCCTGCTGCCTCTAGCTTTTTATACCCGTCCAACGGCCCCACACAGGATTTGCTGTCGCTCTAGCTAGGATTTTACCGAAGCTTTTACTTCCACGCAGGTGGCGGACGAGCGCCTGCATGCAGCTGTATTATTATTATTAGTAGTATGATTTACTCTCCCGCGCAGGGGCGCTTGGGAGGTGAAGGCGGCCCCGGCCCCGGCCCGCCCCGCCAGGAG